CAGTACCTTTTTCAGGGCCTGGCTGTTTTTCTCCCATCTCTTTGGGCACTGCAGCACAGAGCACAAATCAAACTTGATTTCCCCCTCTGATATGGCACAACAAATTGTAATGAGAAACCTTCTGTGCCTGGAGGAGGTGACAGCAGGCTGTCAGTCAGCTGCACAGCACTGAACTCTGGGCTGTGTTTGTTGATGTGGAAAGAAATGCAAGCCTCTGCCTCGAGCTACTTCTGGGATGATACATTCCAAATTTGCTAGCTTTTATTCAACTCCTGTAACATTTTCATTCCTATTGCTGTTACAATAGGTAGTAATTGTTTTTTATCACCATAATGTTTGCTTCCAAAGTGTTTTCAAAACACTAGAGATAATGCTTTTGTAACTTAGGGAATAAAGACAATTTCAAATTTGCTGATAGAGAGGCTGAGGTAGAAGGACCTAGGCAGGGCCCAAGTAATATGACCTGCAGGCCCTACCTCCTAGGTACTACTGCCCCATATACTACATCATCTTTCATTTTACTCCCTGATCATGCTTGGCCTTAGCACTTAGATAGAGTTCAAGCATGGCAGATGTGCTGGATGGACTGGATGATATTATTGGTCTTTCCAATCTTAATGATGCTACGTATCTATGAAAATCCCTTTTTCTTTTTCTTTTTTTTTTTTTTTTTTTTTTTTTAGTGGAAGATTTAGATTGGATGTCAGGAGAAGTTCTTTACCAAGAGAGTGGTGAGGTGCTGGGACAGGCTGCTCAGAGAGGCTGTGGATGCCCCGTCCCCAGAGGTGTTCAAGGCCAGGTTGGATGGGACCCTGGGCAGCCTGCTCTAGTATTAGATGTGGAGGCTGGTGGCCCTGCCTGTGGGGTTGGAACTTGATGATACTTGAGGTCTCTTTCATGCCAAGCCATTTTATGATTCTATGATTCAGATTTTAACCTCCCCCAGCATTCTTTAGTTACATAAGGAGTTTTGATATCCACCAGATATGCTTTCCACATGATCAGTGGTGTGAAATGCATCCCTGTATGTGTGTGGGACTGGCTGAGGGGACCTGGGAGGTGTTCCCAAGTTACAGTAAGCAAGGGGGCCTAATGTGATGCAATTTGATTTACCACTTGACATATTTTCTTACGATGGAGGTGTTTTAAGAGTGGGCATCCCTGAAGGACTTGGGAATGCTGAAGTCAAACTGGGGGCCTGCCTGATGAGCACATGCCTTCTCACTGTGTGTGAATACACAACCATGCCAACAAACATATGCTGAGTTTGACATGCAAGTCTACACTCACCCACAGGCATGCAGATGAACATGCCTGCATACAGCTATAGCCTTTCAGCCAGAAACACCCACCCATGAGCAAATTAAACTTGCACATTAGGGCAGCCACAATGGCTAAGAAAACAAATTCAAATACTCAGTTATATATAAACAACTCACATTTCTCCATCAGCAGTCAACCACAGCACAAATACATATTACTTTCATACACACTCTCTTTCCCACACACACGGATTCATGTCTGTGCACTCTCCTATGGATTTGTAACCCAAGTACATGTATCTGAACACATTCAGGAACATATACTACAACCAATGGAGTACACAGAGACCAACACATGCACACTCACATATATCTTAATGAAGGTTTTGGTCTGGGGAATTCCTTTTCAAGAAACAAAAATAATTGTCAAAAGGAATAAACAGAGCAAGGAGAACTGCTCAGCCTAAGCAAGCACATACCTACACGCACGCAGCGGTGCTGCTAGACAGGGCTCTCACCACAACTACAGCTATCGCAGCTCAGCCTCTGCCAGGCATGCCTTCTCTGTCTGCAGGCTTCAGGGAAACTACTCAGAGACTGAGGCTTACACGCCTATGGCCTCATGTCAGACCAACCTGTGCCAGGTCTCTCTGCCTTCCCTGACTGATTGCAGTGAAAACTGTCCCTCAGCTCCAAGAGCAGCAACTCCAAAGATTCTACCATAGTTGTCTGTCAGCTTCTAACGCCTTGGGCAAAAACATCTTACCTGCACCTGGCCAGACTAACTTCTCCAATTAGTGGAGTTTGTTGACATTTTTTTTTTTTCCTTTTTCAGACTCCAGGTCTAGCTGGAACAAGACAAGACAGTGTACAGAAACACAAGGCAGGGTTTGCTCAAACCCACAAACAGCAAGAAAGCAACAAGCTCCAGAGGAGAAGGGGAGAAGTGTATCTGATAAACTGCCTCACTCTGCTTGGGAAGATGACAACTGTCCATCCAAGATGGGCTGCTACTTCCAAAGCCCATCTGCCACAGGTGTAACATATCAAGTGCTGCTAGCAGGAAGGGAATCTGACAGGACAAACCAACATACAATACATTCTCTTATTCAATAAGGGTTATAAGTGCAAAGGGATTTCAAAACATTTCAGAACAAACTCCATCCATAGCTGCTGCTCATTTATCAGTGCATCAAAAGATTGTGCAAGTTTTTAGTGACAAACGTCAGAAACTAGTAGCAAAGGATTTGCCTAGATAAAAAGAGAGGATTTAAACATGCCAGGTAACAAAAAGACGTGTGCAGAAATCTGTAAAAACTGTATAGAAGGAAAGGATTCTTTAGAGGAAACACAGGGACCATCATGAAATGCTGTTTGTAGCCCGTATTAAAAGTGTCAGGGCCTCTCCTGCTGCCTCCTCAACTAAGACAGGCAATGGGTGTTTGAACAAAGGCATATCCTCCTTCCTCACAGACTTCTCTAGCAAGGTATGAACTTGCATTTAGACAAGGAATGGAAGAGCGGGGAAGCCTTGTCTGTGGTAATTAAACACATCAGTATGGATAGCCCTGGAGACTGAAGATCTGGATGTAGCCCAATTAGCAGGCAGAGTGACCTTCTCAACAAGGTGTGCCGAGTGTGAATGTGATTTATCCTGCTTACCTTTGGTGTCTGAGACCTGGCTGTCTAGACAAACCTGACAAACACAGACAACTCCATCACTGGGTGGGCACCTCCAGAGAGCCATTCATTTCCCCTGTCGGAAATACAGGAGGAACAGCTGGCCTGGGGAGAGGCGTTCTTCTGACCACTAACTATAGGAGGAAACCTGGGTGACTATGTCTTCCTCTCAGACCACTGAAGGATAATGGAATGTATATCAAAATGTTTTATACCATGACCTAAAAAGTTCTTTCATTTGTAGGAAATAAATGTGAATTTTGTTAAAAAGATCCATTAGATTTTCCTGCCATCACGGGGTTTGTGTGATACACTGGGATAAGCTGCTATTTACTTGGCAAAACAAAAGGATATATCTGTCTTCTACTTGGAAGGCTTTTCTACAGACTCGAATATAACAGTCAGGAAAATCTCACTGATATTTAGCAGAATTAATCTCTTTATAATTTCTGTGATTATTTCCTCACCATGTACAGTTCTGCCTCTGTGGATGAGAACTGAGTATTTTCACAATCTGAAGTCTACTATCAGGTGCCCTGTTTAGTTTTCTTGTGACAAATGCGATGCAGAAAGACTTTCACGTCACTCTTTAAAATTATCAACTCCAACCTGCTGATCATTATCATTTCCCTCTATAAATTCAATCCAATCCTAATCTCTCTTTAGAAAAAGGGTACTCTAAATTGCTTCCAGAATTCTGGGTGAAATTAGAGTGGAAAGCAGGGCATATAAAAGATGCAGGAACCAACTTCTCAAAAGACAAGGAAAATAGATTAGTGTCAAATCAAATATGTCATTCACCCAGTCTGAATCAAAGTATCAGAATTTGGATAAATGTCTTTGTTTCAGAATTAAAAAAAAAAAAAAAAGCAGAAATCAAAGTAGAATAAAAATATAACAACAATTTGTTTGGATCGTGATTTTTTTCCAAATTGCTGTTTACATTTTCTCCTAAAGACAACACTGAGTGAACACTGCTCTCACTTTTCTGCTTGCAATGGATTGCCTACACAGTACTTAACAATTCCAAGCTGGAATATTTATTCAACAGCCACATCACCCTGCAAATTCACGATGGGTTTGCCCTTCATTAACATCCTTACAGCAATTTTCTTTTGTTCTTGCTACATTCCTGGCTTTGCTAAGCTGGATTTTATAGTAAAATTTTAGTCTGTGGTCAGTGTTTCCTTTGTAGTCTTTATTTCAGGAATCTGTGTGCTTTCTGACTGTCCTTTGTCCATTTACTCAGTAATTCTATATCCATCCACCTCCACAGAGAGAGGAAAAAGCTTGCCTGACGTGATTTATTCCCTTGAACACCAGCTGTTCATTTCAGTCTCCATGGCTTTCTCAATCCTTCACCTGTCTGCTGAGAAGGGCACTGGTGGGGCCAATCAGTATCAGTTGTTCTGGTGGAGTTTGTGATATGGAGCAAACCGAACTGGGCTGAAACATGGTGCACTGCATTTCTTAGGGCTTTGTGTTCTGCTTTTAATTTATCTAGCTTTTCTTTATTTATTTTTCCTTTCAAATTACAGACTAAGTGTTAAGTGCCCGTTCCTCTAAACGGAGATGGTTTGGTCTTTATTTCCTTTGGAGGAAGCCTGGGTGAGGAGGCACCAGGAGGATTGTTGGTTTGGTTCCTGTAGTTCCACCTCGAAAGAACAGACCTTTAGATCTCTGTGGGGTGGAGGGTACCAAGCCACCATGGGAAGGGAAGCATAACACTGAGTAGACCAAAGAGCTGGCCTGGGACTTTTCTAGCAGCTTCCCATGGCACAAATAGCTTTTTCACTTACACTCCACATTTCTCGTCACTTTTCCTGCTATACAGTTTAATTCATGCCAGGCGGATTATGAAGGGAAGAAAATGATGCAACAGTCCTTTAAGTCGTTCCAGAAAACAAAAGAATAAAAACAAAACAAAACGAAAAATAAAGAAAAAACTCTGAAAACAAACTCAAAAGAAAGAGAGGAGGGGGAGGAAAAATAAAGAACCCGGGAAAGACAAATGAATGTTAGAGCAGGCACGATCATGGACAGACGCCAGCTACTTACGTTCACCTCGGTGATTGCTATATCAACAATGCTACCCACAACAATCAAGGCGTCAAATGTATTCCATGCATCACAGAAATAGTGCTGCATGTGGCAGAGAAGCCAAGGAAAGAGAAAGAGAGAAAGGAAGGAAGAGTGAAAGAAAGAGAGAGGGAGAGAGAGAAAGAGAGAGAGAGGGAGAAAGAAAAAGGGAGAGGGAGAAAAGAGGGAAAAAAAGGAAAAGGTAAAATAAAAACAAAACAAAACAAAACAAAACAAAGCATGAAAGAGGGAGAGAAGAGGAAAAAAATAAGAAAAGAAAGAGGTTACGTGGGCATATTAAATAGTCTCTTACCACTCTACAGTATTGATTGCTCAAAGCTCTGTAACGTTTCACATGTTGTAGGGTATCAACAAAAGCCTGGTTAGTCAGAAACTTACACTCAAGCATGACTACCTTTTGGAGGGAAAAAAAAGCACACACACCCCAAACTCTGTGCGCTTTCACCAGTCACAGCCTTGGGGCGAGCTATGACAAGTGAAAAAGAAGGAGGTGTTCCCCCCTCCTTTTTTTTTCCCTGGGAGAAGGAGAAGGACGACGGCAAGTTCAATAAAAGCATGACTAGAGGGAAAAGAAAATCAGAAAAAAAAAGAGAAAGAGAGAAAGAGAGAAGGAACAGCAGAGGAGGAGGAGGTGGTGGTATCCTGGGGAGGGTAGAGTAATACTCACATTAGTTTCACTGAGAATGACGTCTATAATGCTGCCAATTACGATGAGGAAGTCAAAAACATTCCAAGGATCACTAAAGTAACCCTACATAAGGAAGGGGCAGGCAGGATGGGGATTAAAAAGGAATGTTAGACAGACAAAAACAGTTCAAAATTACCATTAGAATTATTGCCCTGACACCTCAAGGGGTTTTCCTCCTAACTCTACCTGAGGCTTCTCAGGCCGTAGCATACTGCTGGCATCCCTCACCTGTGTGAATGGCCCTTCTCCAGCCAACACGATGTCAGGCCAGATACCCCTCACCTATGACTGAGACAGGGGTGAAGGGGAAGGCTGCTCTTGGGAGCAAGAGCTGACCACCAGGTCCTCCAAACATCTCTGATTCCTAGCCATATATGTCCCTTCCCCATCTGGTTTAGATTTGGCTGGGAAAGAGGACAGGAATGTTGTCCTGTACTTTCAAAAAATGCTCTCCTTCTGCCAGGGTGAATGTAGATTCACCTGTTCGTATGCCTCTGTGCTGGTGTGGAAAGCAGCAGTGTGCTGTGGTATGGCAGGGCAGAGGGCCCAGTCAAGTTGGAGATGTGTTATTTAAACAGATCCTTTTCTTTATCTTTACCCAGCCACAATGACAGCCATTAGCCTAACACTCGCTGTTATTAGTGCTTTAGCTCCTGTCTTAAAACTACAGAGCAGGACTGTATTTACGTTACCCTGAAAGCACATCTGCCCTACAAAATGAAAGTGTGAATGCAGCCTGTGCCTGCTGCTAGGAAGGGGTGAGGATGGGAGCAAAGTCATTTCTAACATGTGCTCAGAGTCAGACCTCTTGCTCACTCGTGCTGAAGATGCAGCATCACTGTGACACTGGCTATATAGGATGAGCTGTGACAGATTGGGTACCATATGCTAAGCTCATACCTTTGCTTTGCTGTGTAGGATTTCTTTGAGAGCCACCTCTGACACTGTCTTAAGCAGGGCTCAGGAGATTCTAATCATCACTGCTTGCCTTCCCCCATCCTGCATGATTTTTCATGGCCTGGGTCATAGGGATACAGGACCCTTTGGGAAAAATCCTGTTTAGCCCAGGTTCCATATGTCAATTTCCTCCCAGTTCAATGTCCTAAGCAAAAACCTCATATCTTGGTCCACTGAGCACCTAAACACCCTTGTTCTGGAGTCCTAAATGGAGGTAAGCCTCCAAAATCCTCTGTGCTCCTTTTATGTGTTTGGTTTTGTGAGCGTGGGCCGTCTGACCTCCCTGTTTTCCAGCTGCAGCATGTTTCCAGTGAGACTGAACCCAAGTTGCTCTGCCACTGCTATTCTTAGCCAGAGAGTCAGGTCATGGGTAGAGTGTCAGGCTGTGTTCCCAGGCAGTGTTGAAGAGAGCAAAAAATGAGAAAAGAAAAAAAAATCCCAGTAGTGGCACTGCATTAGCCATGCTTAGAAGTCTTAAATTGCTGTGGATCCAACCATAGGATCAGTCATTGGCAAAAAGTGTCTTTCTAAACTCTGAAATGCTGCCTAACAGGATGCTTTGAGACTCACAGTTATAACCTGTGTTTTGTGTTGGGCTGGAATAATGGAAAAAAAAATAAAATTAAAAACAGCAGAGAAGCCACTATCAACTGGTTCACACCAGTGAAGAGAGCTGATAAGAGAAGACTTTGAAATCTTCTCAGAACTAGAAAAAAACACCCTTCTTTCTGCAATCGGAAGCAGGCAACTCTCAGTGGATCTACACTGGGAGGAGTAATTGCACCATGGTTGCTCATGGCTACAAAATAAGCTACAACAGGGAAGAAGGAAACAGGAGCAAAAGCAAATTCAGAGAATATTATTATTCAGCGTCCAGCCTAGAAAATACACAACAAATATTAGAATGAATTCAGCAGTGATGTCCAGCATCGTTAGCAACCAGATGGACCTGGAATAAAACTGCAATTAGACTTCACCAAGAGAAAGGGGAGGGAGAGAACAGCAGATTAAAATGTAGAGGCAAATGCATTTTGAATAAATAAAGGACAGACACAGATCATACAGAGTTGCAGAAAGTGCCTTTGCAGCCTGATGCAACCTTGGCAGAGAAGACACTTGGAAGATCAAAGAGAATGGAGGAGAAAACAGACCCAATCCTCCTGCCCCATTCGTGTGCACGTTCCTGATGATGACAGTGGTGCTACTTATATCCAAATCAATACACTGAATGGCATGGCTACCCTTCCATTTCCTTCGCAAATTGAATAGATTGGGAACTGTTATGGACTTTTGCAGGAAGCCGAACAGCTCCAAAAAACAGTTTGTTTTTGGGTAGCTGCAAGGGTGAAGATCCAGAACGCATTGTTCACATCTTACCCATGAAAATGATGGCCCCCTATTTTTGAATTCGTTGTGGTTATTTTTACTATTTTTACCATAACTGCCATCATACTGTAAAGAGTATTTTGGGGGTAACCAAATCATTATTTCTTTTTACTAAGCAACTCTGGACACAAAACTTAACACAGCTGCTGTTCGAACAGCATTTACTGATGGTACAAAACCCAGGGGACAAGCAGCAGAGAATCCTGTCCTCAGATGACCACTGAAGCCAGTGAATTCAGCATCACTCCCAGTTGCAGGAGTGCAACTTCACTGGAATCAATGACATTGCATTGATATCGCTGGCACATCTCAGGAGAGATTCAGGCCTGGAAAGAAAAGGTGCCTTTTTCATTGCTGCCACAAGTAGCTGCTTTGGACACTTGTGTGATCACAGCGTATATCTGGAGTGACTCAGCTAATTCTGTGGAGTTGCTCCAGATTTACACTGTGAGCTCTTCCCCTGGGATGCTCTGCTGAGTCCCACCAGCCAGCTCCTTGCCTGAAAGCTGGGGTCACAGAACCAGCATGTCGCTGTGCAGCTGTCAGGTGGACTCAGAGAGCACTTCTCTTCCTCTTAGTCTGTTAGAAAGAGGACCTATGGGTAGGAATGTGGTTTTACTCAACCCCACATCCCATATGCCAGAGTTAAATTAAAGAAACACGTGAACTTTGAAACCTTTTTTTCCTCCTCACCTGCTCCCTCTGTTTCAAACAGAAAGGTGAAAAAGAGAAAGATATTATTCACAGAGAGAGACCTCAAAGAAAACAGAGAACATAGGTGCTTAATTTGTGTGCAGGATAGTGGGATCCTTCCTCAGAAAGCCTTGGCTCCTTAGAGACATTCACCTATGAATGGCCATGTGGTTGCTCAGCCCTAGGTCAGACCTCCTAATCTTGTTGGAGTGCACACTGAGAGTGAATAACATCATCCCCAGGGACTTGCCTCTTGTGACCTTAAAGGACCTCTTAGAGCCACAGTCCTTCCTGGAGTGTACCAGGGTGGATAATGAAGGACAAGCTGAATGAAGGGACAACTTTCACTCTAGTAAAGAGGCTGTATTTCCAAGCTGTTTTTCCCACCAGAAAGTTCTGTATGCTTTTCCCAAGGGGGTGGAGGTCTGACTGGAAACAAATTGATGGTATTGTTTGTTTTTGCAGGACGGGAATTTAGAGTGCAATACCACATTTTACCCTTAAAGGGAGATGTTTCACCCTGATTTAGCTGTATATACATGTCATGTTATGGCAGGCCAAGGGGCACGCAGGGGAAGGGTAGTCACCCTCTCCTGTGGGAGTTCTCTGAAGATCTGTGAAGCTTTTGGGGAGAAAGGAGGACAGAAAGAGACCAGGAGGATTGGAGTGAATATTCAGGAAGCGTGAAATAACCCCACCATTACAGCACATTTTTTTCCCCATTTTTTATTTCCCCCAAAATAGCGAAGAATAGTGAATCATCACATGATCATTATGTTAATGAAAGGCTGAGCATAAATATGCAGTAGCTGACTGGAATGGAATCTCATTTGTGCGAGGGGAGCAGACATTGTAGCATTTCGGAATGAATATGTCAATCATTTTTAGGTTTCCTAGTCACCAAGATTAGCTATGAACGAAGCTGGAGTTTGTTTTGGTACTAATGGAGGCATTGAAATCTCTGGAGACCATTTCTTTTTGACCATTCACTTTTTGTGAATATGAGATCCTAAATGCAGCATTTAAGATGTCTTGCCAACAGCAGGGAACATTGCCCACTGGAGCCTTTTCTGAAGGTCTGAGCTCAGAGTCACCCATGGCCCCAGGTAAGAACATAAGGTAGGCTGGGGAGCTATACACCTGTTCTGAAACACAGAGATCCTCAGTGGAAGGGCACTGCTTGAGTTGTAGTACCAGCTGGGTTATGAGCATCTGGCCCTCACTTCTGTATTTACTGACATGTAGTTTTTTATCTATCTGCTTAGTCGCAGGTTTTCACTTCTATCTCTTATGAGGTGGTTGGCAAAATTATGAAAACAAAGGGATTAAGGGCCAAAGGTGTCCGCTGGGTGGGAGCTGATGTAGGTCAAGTGCTCTCCAGCAGAAGCTCCTACAATGTCACAGAAAAACAAGGAGAGATATGTGTACATGTGTGTATACATGCATATATGAATACAGAAATGAAGTATCGACAGAGAGAAAATGGATAACTACAGGGCCTAAAAGGAAAGCAAACTGAAAACCTTGCCACCGTTGATCTGAAATGAACCAACATACTTAAATGACAAAAGGAAACAATAATCTTAATCAACTGGAAAGAATATGTAGGAAAGAGAGAAAGGGGATTATTTCCTGATACTCAGAAATATTCTGCTGGTTGTAAAGAGCACCAAAGCAAACTTTGCTGGTAACTTGCAAAATGAGATGAACACACGGTCTGGTTGATGCTTGCTTAGTACGTGAATTCTTTCCCAAAAATGCAGCAGGCTGTTTGGAATTCTGAGAATCAGTTATCAGACTCCATTAAAAGAGGATTTCCTGAGCAGAACTTTCATGAGGGACAGTTTCATTGGAAAACAGAATCAAGTCAAATGACATTTACACAGCACTATGACTCTTGGCATACCTTCTCACAGCACACTGGGGGGATTCAGAGGCATCCTGGGAAATCTTACAAAGCTACAATAGCTGATGGTGCCAAATGGCAATAATGAAGATTCTGTTATGCTGAGATACAGTTTAGCCAA